CGGGAGAGGGGCAGTTCTGCTGGGCCCTCTCTGGAGGACAGAGACAGGGTCTGTGTGCAGAGCATTTTGGAGAGAAGGCCTGGAAGCCTGTTTACCTGACTGCCTGCCCTGGCTAGCCCGGACTGCTGATTTCAGCTTGGCCTGAAAGCTGCCTCTTGGCCCCGGCCCGAATCTGCTGTGTTTCATTGGAGAGTCTCTGTGCTCGCTAGGAGAAAAAAAGGAGCTCCTTGAGACGCCACCACCTGGGAGCCACAGTGAGTCCCTAGGGGTGAACTGCCTTCCTACTTTTTTTTCCCTCCATTTGAGGGGTGGGGGTCCCCCATCTTCCTTTCGGCTCTCCCCGTGATCTGAGACCGGCCCCAGGCCCCCTTTTTCCCGTGGTGGCCGCCGGAGCCCGGCAGTGCCCCCTACCGACCACAACAGCGAACTGCAGGCTCTGCGCCTCTGCGATCCAACAGCGCCCCTGCAGGCCACGATTAGGACTGCGCTAATAGGACAGAGAAGTATTTACCAGACTTTGCTTTTCTAGGACCACTGTATAGTTTTGTTGTGTTCTGTTACTGTTCTTAACTGTTTTTGCTAACATACATGTATCTTTTAATAAAGGGTTGTTATCTCTTCTGTTTTCCACACTTCCTTGAGTAAAGCCCCGTAAATTTTAAATCCACAATTGCTGAGAGAGAGGAGTTTTGTTTTGTCCCATAACTCATCCTCTTTAGCAAACCTTCCAGTCTTTTCAGACTGAGACAGGAGTGAGGCCTGGTAAGGCCTTGCCGACCTTGGGAGACCGAGGTTGCCGGCAGTCGTTCCAGCACGACTTTCTGTTGTCCCAAGGAGAGTAGTAAGATATTCCTTTGCTAATTCTTTTAGTTGCTAGATCTTGGGCTAGTGATCGGGATATATATATTTAATTTTGGTTTTGTTCCTTTTTTTCCCTTCCCCCTTCCCTTTCCCTTTTCCTTTTGAAATTGTATATATATTTTCAATTGTATATAACTGTAATATAAGTGTAAATATATTTATATATATTGCTCTAGTTGCCTCTCTCTCGTTTCGGTTCTCTTGGTTTTTTTTCCCTCTTCTCCCTTGGTTTGGGGGGGGGGGAGTCTTGTGGTTAGGTTTGGAGACTTGGCAGGGAGCCAGCTTCAAACCATATCACAGGTGGACAGAGAAGGGTCATCAGTAAGTCCTGGAGGTGCAGGAAGGAGAGCTGAGCTGTTCCCATGTCCTGAAGTGGTGGGCAGCTGTGGAAAAGAGAAGGGAAATCCCTCCAGGACCCATCCATATAGTTTTGCTATCAAGCACTGCAAACATCTTGGGGATGCGGAGCTTCTGGAGCTGCGCCATGGACTGCACATCAGTGAGTTGTTGGCCAATTTCATGGCTGACCTTGCTCCTCTGCTGTTCACTCCTGGCATCTCACTAAAGGTGCTTACACCCATGCCATCCCAAGTTATGGGAACATCTGGGATGCCCCATGAATATCCGGAACTTGGACTGTATAAAAGTGGTACCCAAGAAGCACAACTTTGGGACCCTCACCACTGAGAAGACCAGAAGAAGGACTGGCAGGACGCTGTCAGAATCCATGTGGTGGTGATCTTTTTACTTAATCTGTCTCTCATTCTCTCTCTTCCTATTTCTCTCTCTCTCTCTACCTCATATTTACTGTTAAATAAAATCCGTACTATTGACTTTGGCATATGGTCTCATTTGCACCCTAATTTGGGCAGAGGCATATTTTAATAATTGGATCCTAACACACATGCCTTACAAAAAATGAAAGCGTTCAAGAGCTGTCCAGATTATGTAAAATCTCACTTTCCAGGAAATTTGGACTCAGATGTTTCTCTTCTCTTTGTTGATTTTCAAGCTGGATGGTAGCACTTATTTCATGCAATTTTACACATTTTGCAATAAAATGTTATGCTGAATAGGGAATTCAAAGTGACTGAATTGATGGAATTCCTATGTCAGGAAAAAAGGTAATGGTAAGAGCAAAGTAGTTGTGGCACCTGGGCAATTACAGATGAAAAAAACCCTCTTAGATCTTCATCAGTCTCTTGATACTTCTATTTCTGTAATATCTGAGCATTTCAGGTTACTGAATTTACTTACATGTTGACTCCTGTCTCAAACTGATTTAGGAGCATTTTTATTGCCTTCCTGAGGAACGCTGTACGTTGTAATTCATACCATAAAAAGCAATTAAAAATAAGCATGATTATTTCATTGTGTAGATGGGAAGAGATAGGAGCAGCGTAAAGAAAGATGCTCTATGTTACGATGATGTCCTGAGGTAAAAAGTGTTTTCCCCTGGAGTTGGAAAAGTGGTAACCCCCGAGGGGGTGGTGTTCTTGGTGTAGGGCCCAATCAGAAGCTTCATTTCGCTCCTTTGAAATCAACATATTATAACAGACCGGTAAAGAAGGAGATGACGTAGCTGGAAGAAGAGAGGTAGCCATGGTTTGAGACCACGAGGAGAGAGGGGCCAGGACCCCCGCTGGAGGCCAAGGCCCCCCAGCCCCCGGCTGGGGCTGCGGAAAACCGGAACAGTGTTAAAACTGGATCGGGTGCTGTGGTCAAAGGCTGGGGGACTTTCTCCACTGTGAGTGGGCAGCAGAAGACGGAAAAGCAGCGGCAGAGACAGTTGTGGCTGAAAGCCAAGAAGATAGCCAGCAGCAGCGAGATGGCATAGAGCCAAGCTAAGAGACGCAGAGATGTCCTGCAAGGAGGGAGAGCTGGCAACAGAGCAGAGAAAACTCAGCAGAGACTGTTTTGGGGTAAGACTGAATTACTTTCACAAAACCCTGAGACCTCCTAGAAAGGAGGGGTGGCCTTCCAAACTCTTAGGGAGTCCCGAAATGCAGCAGCAGCTAGAGAGAGAGAGACTGGACTAGTGACAGCAGGTCACTAACTACCTCCTCTTGGATTACAGGGGGTCTATTCGGCTCCCCATCCCTGTCTACCAGCTCAGGAGGCCAGTTGTCCTGAGGATAACTGGTCTTACTGTTAAAGACTAAGGCAAAGAAGGCATTAAGTACCTCAGCCTTTTCCTCATCTTTGGTGACTATATTGTCCCCCACGTCCAATAAAGAATGGAGATGTAGTGCGCTGACCCTGGCTGGATGCCAGGTGCCCACCAAGCCACTCTATCACTCCCCTTCCCAGCTGGACAGGTGTCAAGGGTTGACCTTGGCTGTATTCTAGGCACCCACTAAAATCACTAAGAGCTGGGAGAAGTCACACAGGCGAAACAAAACTCAACGTGAGGATGGTACTAAAATTTATTACTAACAGGATAAGAGCTAAAGAGTGAGAAATAAAACAGTCTTAAACACACTTTCCAACCACGCCTCCTTCCTTCCATGTTTTCCCTCCTCCCCCTGCATCAGTGCAGGGAAAGAAGTCCACCCCTAGGGCAACAGGTCTTCCAAATCTGCTATCCCGTAGGTCATTCTTCCATGGGGTGCAGGAGGTCTCTGCACCTCTATGGTCCTTCATGGGCTGCAGGGGAACAACCTGCCTCACCATGATCTTCACCACGGATTACAGGGGAACCAAAGCTCTGAGTCCTTCCCCTGTTCCATGGGGTCCCTCCCACAAGTAACAGTCCTTGATGGATCTCTCCAAAGTGGGTCCATCCCTCAGGCAGTAGTTCTTCCATATCTACTGCCCCGAGAGTCACTTTTCCATCCTTCATAGGATGCAGTCCTTCATAGGGTGAGATGTACTGATGTAGGTGCCCCATAGGGCCATGAGTGGAGTCCTACCTGGGAATAACCTGCTCTGGCGTGGGCTTTCCTCTCCACGGGCCACAAGTCTCTTGAAGGACTTCGCTCCATCCTGGGCCTTCCACGGAGGGTAACAGCCTTCTCCCATGCATCCATCTGCTCTATCATGGGCTTCTCGCGGGGCAGGCCCAGGGGGCTGCGGGGCCACTCTGCCTCCCTGGCCTAGCCCGCGGCACCCCCGCACCTCTCGGCCCAGCCACCCCTGCCCACAGCGGGAAGGAGGCGGGGCTGCCCTGGCCCAGCTAGCTCAGCTCAGCTGGCAGGATCCACTCCAGCACAAGCTGCTCATGGGGCAGGTCCAGAGGAAGCTGCAGGGCCTCTCTCTGCAACCCCAGCCTCAGCCCTGGCCCTGGCTGCCATGGCAGCAGCACTCCCATAGGGTGCTTGCAGGGTGGGCCCGGGGGGCTGCGAGGCCACTCCCCCAAGGGGCCACATGCCCCAGTCAGGGCCCCGGCCTGGGCCCCGGCCCCGGCCTTCGCAGGGACCACCACTGCCTGCTCTGGGCTAGGTGCCCAGAAGCCTGGTCCAGCCTACTGCCCCCCTATCGCAGTGGGAGAGGTTGCCTGGGAGCTTCGGTCAGCTCTTCCCTGGATGGAATTTCTTCTGCGCAACAAGTTTTTTCTTAAATATGTTATCACAGAGGCATTACTAAAACTTCTAATTGTCTCTCCTCCTTGGTCCGCACTAGGAAGTCCGCCCTGGAGCCATCCATCATTGGCTCCAGGGGGGGAAAAACCACATAAACCCATGACAACAGGGAAGAGAGAATAAGATGGAAAACAACTCGTAGGTTGAGATAAGGCAGTTTACTAAAGCAAAAGCGAAAGTTTGTGCATGCACAAGCAAAGCGGAAAATAACAAGGTTTATTTTCTACTTCCCATTAACAAGCCATGTCTCGCCACTTCCCGGGAAGTAGGACTTCAGCATGCGTAACAGTTTCTCAGCAGGCAAACATTGCAAACAACAAATGCCCCCCCTTCCTCCTCCTTTTCTTAGCTTTTATATCTGAGCTGACGTCATATGTTATGGACTATCCCTCTGGTTAGTTTGGGTCAGCTGGCCTGGTTGTGTCCCTTCCCATGATCTTGCCCTCGATTGGGGAAGGAATGTTACAGTGCTGATGCTGTGCTCAGCAGTAGCCAAAACACTGGTGTGTTATGAACACCTTTCTAGCTACCAATGCAAAGCACAGCCCTGTGAGGGATGCTATGGGGAAATGAACTCCATTGCAGACAGATCCAATACAGGTTTTCTTTGGCCCTCCTTTTGCTATTCATGGCTAGGCTTCGCGAACGAAGATTTGGGGAGGGCTCTACCCACATTTGTTACAAGTGCGCTGGTGGCTAAAAAGGCCAATACGAGATAGGCATGTCCGGTTGCAAAAGGCACAGCAGAAAGACTCCTTAGGTGGTATATTCTGAGAGACACGATTCTTTCTGCGTTGTCTTTTCTCCTCAAGAGTGATCCTGCGTGCTTTCTCAAAAGCTCCAGCAGCGTTAAAGATAGTGTGTCTCCAGGCCTCCCGATTGGAGGCCAGAGTAGACCAGTTATGTTGATCAATATGGCCAAGGCTGAGATGTTGTTTCAGGGAGTCCTTGTATCTTCTCTTCGGGGTTCATCTCATGCGGCAGCCGGTGGCAAGTTCACCATAAAGCAGGATCTTAGGGAGGCGGTGGTCCTTCATCCTGAAGACGTGTCCTGCCCAATGCAGCTGTGTTCTCAGCAACATGGCCTCAATAATTAATGTATTTATAAAACCACTTTTTATTATCTTTACAGTTGTGGTCAGATTAAGTTCTAACTGAGCTTTCACCTTTCTAATTTCCTTTCTACATGGCCTAATAACATGGTAAAACACTTCCTGAGTTGCTTGCCCCTTTTTTCAAAGGTCATACGCCCTCTTTTTTCCCCTGACTTCCTGTGAAACCTCCCTGTTCAGCCAGGGTGGTCTTCTTCCCCTCTGGTTCATCTTTCAGCACATAGGGATGGCCTGCTCCTGCACCTTTGAGATTTCTTTCTTAAAGTATGTCCATCCTTCCTGGGCCCCTTGGTTTTTAAAAGTTGCTTCCCAAGGGACTCTACAAATCAGTGTCCTGAATAGGCCAAAGTCTGCCCTGCAGAAGTTCTGGGTAAAGGTTTTGTTGACACCTCTCCTTATTTCACCAAGTATTGAAAACTCTATCATTTTGTGGTCGCTGTGCCCAAAATGGCCTCTGACCACCAAATCTCCCACCAGCTTTTCTCTGTTTGCAAACACCAGGTCTAGTGGGTCCCCACACCAGGTAGGCTCACTTACCATCTGTGACAGGAAGTTCTCTTCCACACACTCCAGGAACCTCCTAGACTGCCTCCTCTCCACTGTGTTGAGCTTCCAGCAGGCATCCAGTAGGTTAAAGTCTTCCACAAGAACAAGGTCCAGTGACTGTGAAACATCAGCGAGTTGCTTCATCCACCTCTTCATCCTGGTTGGGTGGTCTATAACAGACTTCTACCAGGAGATCTGCCTTATTAGCCTTCCCCCTGATTCTCACCCATAGGCACTCAACCTTATTGTCACTATCATTGAGCTCTAGACAGTCAAAATACTCCCTAATGTACAGGGTCACCCCACCACCTCTCCTTCCTCTCCTGTCCCTTCTGAAGAGCTTGTAGCCATCCATTGCAGCACCCCAGTCATGCAAGTCACCCCACCACATTTCCATTGATGGAGATTATGTCGTAGCTTTCCTGGTGCATCATGGCCTCCAGCTCCTCCTGTTTGTTACCCATACTGCATGCGTTGCTGTAGATGCACTTCAGCTGGTCTACTGATTTCACCCCCAACTCTGACATACCACCTCCAGGCTCACCTCTAGCGAGCCTGGTCTCATTCCCTTCCCCCTTCAAACCTAGTTTAAAGCCCTCTCAATCAACCCTGCCAACTCACAGGCTAGAATTCTTTTGCCTTTATTAGATAGGTGAACCCCATCTGTCTTCAGCAGGTCTGGTGCTGTATAAACTGTCTCATGATCAAAAAAACCAAAATTCCATAGATGGCACCAGTCTTTAAGCCACTCGTTGATCACATGGGTTTTTCTGTGTCTTTCAGCATTCATCCCTGCTACTGAAGGAATTGAGGAAAACACCACCTGTGCTCCTGTCCCTTCAACCAGGTGACCCAGTTCCTTGAAGTCCTTTCTGATTACTCTGTGTTAGACACCAGATCAATAATTGTTGGGTCAGAACCACCTTGAGGGGGGTGTAAGCGTGTGTGTGTGGAGAAGGAAGGGATGGGTCGAACCTCATGGAGGTGAGGTGGCATCATATCCCTCATGGCAGGCCCCTGGACCTCACATGGGGAATCCCCAGAGCAGCTGTCAGTCAAAAGCAGCCCGGGAAAACTTCAACACACCACACCTCCTGGAGCCCCTAACCCAGCCTCAGTTTGGCAGGGACAGTGAGAACACTGCCCCTTACCCTGGCTTGGAGCCCCAAAATGGCTAGTGGGTCAGAGGCCCCGCCTGGGGGAAGGTGGCCATAGGGACCAGAGCAGATAAAACCAAAGGTGTATGCTTGCCATGCCATCATGGCCCTGCCATCTGGTCTTCCACAAGGTTCCAATGGTAGCTATATAATCTGTCTCTCCCTCCTTCTCTCTTCTTGCTCCCTCTTCTTCTCTTTGTTTGCTCCTTTCTTGATGCTTTGGGTAGCTTAAAGCTGGAGGGATCAGATTTTGACTTTAAGTGTTGTGGATTAGTATGTGCTGGGTCAGTATTGTGGTGGAACATTTTGTCTAGCTTTGTGAACTTTTGCCAAGTTCCCCTATTTTCTCCCCTAAATTAACAATAAAAGTACCTCTTGGGAACAAGTCTGTGGCTTATTGTCTTGATGCTATCTCGAGGTATTAAAGAACCCTATATACATATTTTAAAGTAAAACTCCTGGCTGAGTCTGTGAGCTTTGGCTCCAGGGCTAGAGTGTTACATTTTTGGTGCAGCAAAGAGCAGGGTACCTTTAGAAGTGGTTTCTTTTGTTTGGGGATAACTGTGAATTGCAAACAAAGGGACAAAGTATGTCAGTCACCAGCAACCACATGGAAGGTGAAAAGAACTTAGACTGTTCCCAACTTGTTGAGCTATTAATAGATGTAGTGGGTTTGTGTAGCTAAATAACATTTCTTTTTTCTGGGGAGGAAACTAGGATAAGTCACCTGACTCGAACAGGAAGATATTCCATACCATGTTACGCCAGGTAAAATATAAAAAGGGGAGGAAGAGGTAGCTCGCTCTCTTCTCTTCCGGGGTAGCTGTGCGGAGTGGTTGGGCAGTTCCATCGGGGGAGGAGATCGTTGGTTGTGGGGAAGTATCTTTATTTTTAGTTCTTCTCTGTATGCATATTGCTTATAGTGTTTTCTATCTTTGTGTAAATATAAATAATCTTTCTTAGCAGCTCCGATCTAGTAGTTTTTTCCTTCCCTCTTTTTCCCCCTTCCCCCCCCCTTCCCTCCGGAGGGACTTGGGCGCAGGCCCAGTGGATACCTGGTGTTCAGTCAAAGTAAACAATAACATAGATTATAAGGCATACCCAGTCCCAGACAAAGAAAGACAGGCTGAGGAAAACTGGCATGATCCCACGTTTGTATCTGAGAAAACAAGAGAACTGGCAAAAGATGAAAAAAAAAGACACCCGGTAAGGGAAAGGCTTTAGTCTGTACTTTGTTAGGAGTTGGGCTGATGGCTGCTCAAGGAGAGAGATTTGTTACTAAGCAGCGCAATCAAGAACTGAATGAGTCCTTAGCTAAGAGTGGCTGTGAAAGCTGAGATCTTAGCTCTCCAAAAGGTGGAGGAATGGTTGAATGCTAAAAGGAGATTGGTTGAAAACCTGATAAAGAGGTTGAATGAGTCCTGGCAATTTCAGCACAGGGTTCCTTCAAGTGAACGACAGCCCTTTCCCCCAGGAAGGAAAGCCTGTAACGTTTGGGTGTAAGGTGCCGTTTGTGGGCCACCCTTGGCACTCCATGGGCAGAAAGATCTTTCTGTCCTGTCACATTTTGTCTGGGACAAATCTTCATACATATTAAATTTTTGGAGTCAGACTGGCAATTTCAGCACAGGGTTCCTGCAAGCGAACGACAGCCTTTTCCCCAAGAAGGAAAGCCTGTTACCTTTGGATTTCAAATGCAGTTGGTGGGCCACCCTTGGCACTCCATGACCAGCAATAGTTTTTTATTATGGCACTTTTTGCCTGGTAGGAATTGTGAGAAAAATCTCATTTATTAAATTTAGAAAGACAGCAAAGGTTTGCAAAACAAAAGGAATAAAACGAAAAGGAAAAATTAATTACAACATGTGTTGGGTGTCCTAGGCATGCAGGATTCCCAGGAACACCCTCCAATTCAAAAGTCCCGCTTTTTAAACATTCTTGAGGTTCAACCCCGTTTACGTCATAGGAGAGGCATTCCCCTCTCCCTGGTTGGCTGTGTCGTGCTGGGAGGTGGAGTGTCCAGCAGCATGGCAGCTTCCAGGACCAGCCATGTGGTATAAGGGGTTTCCTTACCAATATTCATTTTACAGTTCCCTATTCCCATTCGCATGTTTCCCTGACACTGGTTCCAGGCTGAATCCGGCGTCTTACAACTCCGCGATACGCCTATAGGTTAGTAAAGAAAAACTCCTACGTTAGTGATTTGTTTAATTCATTTGCTTGTAATAAAACTGATTCTTTATTTCTCACAGAATCTTTGTCTGTATTCAATTTTGGGAGTTGGAATGCCAATTTCAGCACAGGGCTCCTGTAAGCAAACGACAGCTCTTTCCCCCAACAAAGAAAGGCTGTAGTCTTTGGGTCTCACGTGCAGGTGGTGGACCT